GTATTCTCCGTATATATTAAATAGTTGAGGAGACAATATTCACCCCTGTCTGACTCCTTGTTCAAGGGAAAATTCCTTTGAAGCTGAATCCAGTATTCTAACTCATCCTTTAGTGTGCTGATACAACTAGATGATAAGTGAAATAAGGTGTTGCGGTACCCCCACTTCCTTTAAGATTTTCCACAGGTGATACCATCTGACTTTATCGAAAGCTTTTTTTATAGTCTACGAAACAAATATAAAGAGGGATGTTGAATTCCCTTGTTTTCTCTATGATTTGGCGCATATTCAGAGGATGTTCCCGAGTGCCTATGCCCTTGGTGAAACCTGCTTGTTCTGCTGGAATTTCTCTTTCTAGAAAAGCTTTCAGTCTTTCATTTATAATTTGCAACATTACTTTACTGGCATGTGAGATGAGGGAAATTGTACGATAGTTGCTGCACTTACGTATGCTCCCTTTCTTGTGGAGAGTGACAATGGTGGAGTGTGTCCAGTCGTCGGGCTATTCTCCTGTGTGCCATATTTTATTACAGATCAGATGAAGCATTTCTAATCCAGGTTCTTTAACGGCTTTTATTATTTCTGCTGTCATTAGGTCTGAACCTGGTGCTTTATGGTATTTTAATTTGTTTATGGCCAACTCTTCTTCACTTTTAAGGATGTCCGGTTCTTTCTCTGAATTTTCGTGGTGGTCGGCATAGTTATATTCTTCACTGACTTTGTATAAATCTTCGCAATATGATCTCCACACCTCAATAATGTCTTCTTTTTTGGTTCTTAAAGTTCCATTTTGATCTTCGACTGCCCAATTTCTGACTTTAAAGTCCCTGGTAATATATTATATTTTTTTTGAAAAAAGATGTAATGGCTATAAAAAAATTAAAGTTTAAAATGTAGTTTTTGTTTCAATTAAAGTTTAAAGCTTTGCAGTTGAAGTTTTAAAACTGCTAATATTTACTAATTAAAAGACTGGAAGACCTACGTAGAATACGAAAATATAGGCCATTATAATCTTACGAGAGCATTAATAAATGTAGCATATAAATCAAAAGTTATTACATTCGTAATCGGTAAGTCTTTGGTCTGGACCCAAAGGTCTCGGTCAAAATATGTCATTCCATTCAAAAAATCTTCATGTTGTGTACATCGATTGCATGCTAGAGCGTATTGTAAATAAGTAAGTAACAGTAATTGACTATAAAAAAACTATTTCTTGTTTATATTTAACATTAAGAAAGATTAACTAAATTTCTAATGTTTAATCGAGAAGATAATTGCTTTATTTAGGCGATCTTTAGACGAAAATTAGTAGTTCCCACTGCGTAAAACTCGGGTTCATTAACATTACACAATTCTGATAGTTTTTATATAGGATGGCCACTGCAATAATACTCAGAATAGATATTTTTATAGCATAATATACAGGGTGGTCCGAATTGTATTCCGGAAACTTCGGCAGCATATTCTTCAGATAAAAATAGGTAAACGTATAAATGTATGTCCTAAAATGCTTTGTTTCGGAGATACAGGGTGTAGAAATTTCATTTTTATTTCGATTTTTTCCAAATAATTTCTGAAGTAACGTCAATATTTAGATGAAAATTGGTGTCTGGGAGTTTTTTGGCATGAGAAATTTTATTTTGATGTCAATATGACTCCTACTGGTAGAGGGCGCCACCTACATCTGTTTTAACTGTTTTGAAGCGTAATAACTTTTTGTTCGCACCTGATTAAAACTACCGAGGGAAAAGATATACATCTCTGTGATTTTTTACGTAAAAAATATCTCTTTGTAAATATCGCTACGAGCAACCGTTCTCAAGATATTCAGAATGGCCATTATTGACGAAAATAACATTTTTACTTATTTTTATCTGCAGAATATGCTGCCGAAGTTTCCGGAATACAGTTCGGACCACCCTGTATAGTTATAAATTGCTTTTATTTTTACTGTTAGGCGGTACGAAGTTAGTCGGGTTAGCTATAGTTTTTCAGGAAAGTTTCAAGATTTTTCCATGTCCAATATTTTTTATTATTATATTTCAAATATAAAGTTAAGTAAATATTGAAATTCATTTAGAAAATGTTTCCATAAAATAATTTGTATTAGCTGTATTATACTAGGGGTCGGCATTTCAGGCCTTGGGTGCTGATTCTCGTGTGTACGAAGAGTGCAGTCAGCCACACTTGGTAAAAGAAGATTAATAAATACAGAAAAGCAAGTATTTTCCTAAGGGCATGGAATCTAGCGTCAGATTAAGTGGTTGTGTAATAAATACTTCGTATTTTTGCTCTCTCCGACTTACTAAATTGCCATAGCGGCAATTTTTGAGGCCATCGATCATGATTGTATCGTACCACATGTACGATCCATTGCCACCATTTCTACCATTGATACCCATTGTCTTTGGGTATCGGCAAAGAATATTATAGTTTCGTAGTAGAATTATCTTTGGTATCGGTCACTCTTCCAACTATCTTAGTTCACTGCAATTTCCTAGGTGGGGACCATATGTCCTAGGTAGTCGCGTGAAAACTTCTTCCAGATCCTTGAAATGATCGTCAAATTATTTTCCAACCACTATAATCTCATCCAGGTATACTAAACAGGTAGTCTAGGATAGTCCCTTCAATACAGACTCCATTAGCCTATCAAAGATTGCTGGTGCGTTGCACAATCCAAATGGCATGAAGGTAAATTTCCGTCTTACTGAACCTACTGAGAATGCTGTCTTCTCTCTGTCTTTCGGCGCTATGTCGACTTGCCAATATCCATTCTTAAAATCTAAGGTAGGGAATATTGTCGACCCCGCCAGCGTGACTAGAGTATTGTCTATCCTCGGCAGGAAAATAGTAAAATCCTTCCTGGTAACATTATTGAGCTGCCGATAATCAACACAAAAACACGTGGTACTGCCCTTCTTGACTAGTACTACCGGCCATGTCCACGGGCTGTTACCGTACTACCAGCGATGTTCACATCCTTTTATTTCATTTCTTGAGAATTTAGTCAGTTTCTTCACGTTTGGCGAGTGGAAGTCTTCTCGAGTTTTGTTTGATTGGTCGTGCATCTCCAGTATCAATTTTATGTTGTACTAAATTGGTATGACCCTGCCCTTGACTCTTGACTCTCTGCCCTGCTTCTCCTTTATCAAACACAGGTTGATACTTGATTATCAGGTTTCTCAATTTTCTATTGTCTTGGGGAGATATTCCGTTTATATTTACTAGCTCCTTCACCATTTTGTCCGGAGATTTTGAAGCCGAAACTTTGGAGGCTTCCATGTTTCGAATGAGCGAGGAGATTGAGCAACAATACCTTAACAGAATTCCTGTCTTAAAGGACACAGAATAATAATTAGTGTTCATTACTCTCACCGGTACAGTCTTCTTCGGTCGTTGCAGAGCTTTTCCTACAGCGATCTCTCGTCCCATTTCGCTTGCCATGGTTCTTTGGCTCCCAGACTAATATTTCTATTACTCATTTTTTCCTTTCAGTCAACAATATCTTAGCGTCTCCTCACATTTTCAATGTAGAACGACTTCTTCTCTATTGACTTTTAAAATCCTCTGTGCGAAGTTCAGTTCAAAGCCTCTAGTAGTCATGACGTCCATTCCGAGAATAAGTTCATCTTCGATGTCTGCTACTAATACTGGATGTTCAAAACATGTGCTTTCGATAACAAAATTAACGTCTACCTCTCCATAGATGACAGCGGAGCTTCCCGTGGAAGTACGTAGTCGCCATTGTATTGTTTTAACCCTTTTAGATGTTTTAAGGATATCCGGCCTGATGATCGTTTCGATCGCAGACGTATCCAACATGATCCAAAAAAACGATCCACTGAAATGCTTTTGAATTTGTGTTAGCAGCGATACATTGGCGTAACTACAGGGGTGTCCGGAGGTGCCCCCCCCCCCAGGTACTGTTGGAAACCTCCAGAGAAACCTTGAATTTTGACTGAACGATGACTCTTGGCTAAATATTAATTTTTATTTGCTTGTGATGTACTAACAATTATTTTTTTGTCCATTTTTATTTAGTTAATATTATTTTTCTGTGTTCAAAAAATGTGTGTCTAGTTTTTAATTTTTTCCAAAATATGTAGGTATTTAAGTAATCCACGGGGTTGATATTACCAAGTTTATCAAATTTCTGGATAGAGAAATTCACGTAAACGTTGTATTCAAAAAATGTATTTATTTTTAATGTGTGATATTATTCTTCATCTTTTAAAATACAAAATCCCAATTGGGAAAATTCGACACCAAATTGTGTTTGAAAATCAAATAATTAAAATGTATTTTTCGATTTTTGGTCGAATTGATTATTTAGTTACTATGACAACTAAGTGACCCCCAAACCTAAAAACTATTTCAGTTTTGAAGCTGTCAAGCGGCACGGCTTAAAAAAATGTTTCGCTTCGGTCATGAAAGCAAAGAAAATATTCGCCAGGAGATTAAGCAGTTGACACCCGCGAATACTAGGAAATCGTTAAGTCAAGCGTATGGAAGCAGTTTACAAACTTTCATCTCAGTTTTGTAATTGAAATGTATCAAAATTATCATGTAAACAAATAAAAACCAGACTCTCAAAAAGATATTCTGTCATTATAAACGTCAAAAAATTTCCAGTATAATTCGCTATTGGGTGCCCACAAGGATAAAATTTTCACTAAAATTTATCCGTTGCCATGGTGATTTCTCAAAAAAACTGACTAGTTTTGATTGGTTAAAAATTACAGGTGTGGAATTTTCAAGAAAAGTAACCTCCACGTAAAACGAGAGACTCCTGTATTATGCGTGTCGACCCTGTAAAAGTAATTACACGTTATAGTAAACTAGACAAAAATACTTTCTATACTCTTTACATCTCCGTAATAATTAATTTTGTTTATGTATAACTTATTAACATTTTATCTTCCGTTTCCTAATCAACGAACTTGTGCAAAATATTAAATAAATTTATTAGGAAATACTGTCGATAAATAACGGCTAGTATGTAATATCGTAATAACTTGGCGATAGATCAGTGTGGTTTTAAATCCGTCCCAAACTACCTTGACATCCCCTTAGCATATATTCCACTTATGTGTAACGCGATACTTGAATACATACATACAGTAAAAAAAACTATATAGAACGGTTTTTTTTCTTGTGGATTATATCCGGCTGATTACCTAACAGCAAACTGAGTTAATGTTCTTTTAGTTCTCTAGTTCTGTTGTAAACAGTGAGTGCTAGATTCTTTTGTTGCGTCGTGTAAGGAAATTGAAATGGCTTGCCCTGTTCGACATAGGTGAGTATAGTACAATTCTTTTAAAAGTTCCTCAATATGGCCGACCTAGTTACGAAAATTGGTAATTTTTTTTAATGAAAAATAAGTTGGCGTTAGCGAATTCAGAAACTGATTTACTCTTTGGTTAACAATAACATTTTTCAGGATTGTCAAGTTGACGTTAAAGTCAGGTTATTAGGTGGTTGTCATAAATAAAAACATAGATTATTGAAATTATTTAATAAGAATAAAGGTATTTTACCGCAGATCCGAAGAGATTTTAGTTAAAGGTATTTTATAAACTTTCTCAGTGAGAATATTAACTCCCCTGTTTCTGATATTTCAGTTAAAGGGACGTAAAAACTATAGGAAGTGAATTTTTGTTTTCATGTTTTGACGATATCTGAGAGTTCCTAGAATTATTAAGATTATTGAATAATTATAGTTGTTTAATAAGTGAAATTAATAGAAGACTTGGAAATAGGATGATGCGTTCCATGTTATAGTTGATAGATCACCCCATTTCTCTTAATTTGTTTTTATTTCAGTACAGTTAATCACAAATTGAATTGATGTGTGCAAAAACAGCTATATATTTTCAAACGTCTTATTTGAATAGTTCTTTTATATACTGTTAAACTGTATCAATTATACAAAGTCTAGTAAAAAGTTATAAGGTAATAAATTTTGTATATATAATTTATGAAAATTTATATATAAAGATTAGAACATAATCTTCAGAGAGAAAAAAGAAATACTCAAAAACTCATTAAATATACTTTATTAAAAATAACAACATACAAAAACATTCATGCAAACTGTAATAATCAGAACATTATCCACATTATACCTTTATTAAATTTGTGTTCACACTCCTGTCAGGAAAGCCAGAAATGTTTGTTTAAATATTAAAAAATAAATTATTTTAAATTGCCAGAAACACATCAGAATATGTTACAACCACAACTATAGGTTTGGAATCAGTACTAAATTTTATACCTAGTAAGTGATGCGTCAACTAACAAGTATATATATTCAATTGGATTTACCACAGATTATCAACTTGAACTACAGTCGATTCCAGCCTAGAGATTTTCGTTTTTTAAGCCTCCCATACTGAAGTCCGCCATATTGGGAAGTTTTAAATGAATACAGGTATATTTGTAGTGCTAAATTTTACTAAATTTTTTAGAGAAGAAATCTAATATATATTTAGATTATACAGGGTTGTTCACCACATACGACACGTATGTGTATCATAAATTGCAAGTTTCGGGTTCGTTGAAGGACTATTAGAGCTACAATTTAAAAATAATTTTTCAAGATACAGAGTGTCCCAAATAGGTAAATAATATTAAATTTGTCTTTATTTAAATGGAACACTCTGTATATTATTCGATTTTTAGGTTCTAAGATTGAAACAAAGGTAAATTTGATTAAGGTTTATCACACTTAAATCTTACTGTTTTTGAAATATTTTCAATTTTGTGTAATTGCAGTAAAATATATAAGGCATCATTTCTCCATAGGTATCAAAGTTTTTAATACTAAATATTTACTGAAGATTACTTATTGATCAGATGTTGTGTTGCAATAATAAAAATTATACTACCTTGTACAGAGTGTCCAAAAATTTATATTAAATAATTACTAGCTTTAAACGGTAATAACTTGTTTAATTTAAATGGAATACCTTATATATTTTACGTGAATCAGTAGTTTTACGTGAAATTAAATATAACACCATTTTTTCCGCCTAAACATTAGTTAAATACATACTTAATTGTTTTAGTTATTCTAAATAAATGTCGATTTGATTCAGAAATCAATATAATAATAAATTATGAAAATTAACGTTTCTGTTGTTATAAATAAGCACTCGACAAAAAATGAAATAAAATTTATAAGGTGTTACTTTTTACTACACTGTCTAATACACATACAAAATTCAGTTTTTTAGTATTTGGAGCAATTCTTATTAATCAACGTAAACAGCCAATTAGTGTAATTTGAATACTTGGATCATATTAACTGGTCTTCTTGAATAAAAAAAAATATTTATTTTTTTTTTATTTTTTAATATAAGCGAACTATATCGACAATATTAGTATCTGGAACCCTTTGAAAATTTGTTTCATCATTAAAAATAATCTAAAATGTCAATATTCCATAGTTATAGTGATAAATGAGGTATAAATTATAACAAAATGCATTTTCTACAAAAACTGGAAGAGATAGGTAAAAAATGGTATTATAAAATTTCATAAACAATTAAATTGTGCATCTGATTTTCGCAAAATATACAGGGTGTTCTATTTAAATTAAACAAGTTATTGCCGTTTAAACTTAGTAATTATTTAATATAAATTTTTAGACACTCTGTATAAGGTAGTATTTTGTTTATTATTGCGACACAATATCTGATCATTAAATAAACTTCACTAAATATTTGGTTTTAAAAACTTTGATACCCTTGGAGAAATGAAGCCTTAAAATTTTTACTGCAATTTCATAAAATTGAAAATATTTCAAAAGCGGCAAGTCAAAAGTTGTAGTCATTTCCGGTGAAACAGGAAGTGACCAAAAACAATTGAATACGTCAGTCAGTCCTAATTTATGTCATATACTAAGATACCAAATGTCGTTCTTTTATCTAAAAAAATAAAAAGATTATAGGGGTGAGTCACTTTTGAGACGCACCCGGTATACCCACAGCTAAACAGTTCTCGAATAGTCCATTAGGTGAAATACCTGTTATATAGTAGATTTTAATTCACGCAAGTTCTACATTGATTTGGGCTTTAGGTTTTTGGCAATAAAAAACAATTTTCTACATATAATGTAGAATGTTTGGAGGGGGGATAATCACCGCCTTCTTACAGATCTATTATGTGTTCCCCTAAAATCTAATTTAAGGATATATTCATTAAACCGAATTGTACTTATCGAGGTATCTATGTTGAACTACGTCGATAAAATGACTTTAGGCAGCTGACGAAATCCAAAATTTAAAACAAATCAAAAGATAAAAACTCAAAATTAAAAATTTCTTACATTTACGTATTTACTATTTCATAAGCAAAATATTTTTGAAAATAAATGTTTGGGCTGAGCTCATAATCCTTAAATGTTATGATTGGATATATATAATCTAAAAAATAAAACGTGGGATTAGATAAACCATTTATAATAATTTATATAAGTTTATTTATAAGTCAAGAACGACTGGGCCGATTTTAATGATATCTGGTTTGTTTGATTCGTCTCCTCACCGACCAGCAAAATAATTATTAAAATATCGGAAAAATTTACAAAAAACATACAGAAAATTAATTTTGAAATAAATTAGGTTTTGAACTCGGAGTTTTCTGCAATTGACAGCTTAAGGGCTCGAACTCACTGACGACCAGGTCGCAACGACCAGGCCGTCGGCTGACCGGATGTGTTGCGTTTTTAGCTGAGGTCAGAGTTGTCAAATCTAACGATTTATCAATTAGAAAATATTGGTTCAGAAATGTTAAAATATCCGAGTTAACTAAAAAGCGAAGTTGCTATTCACTACAAACAAAAAGCATTGTGTACGCGCGACCGACAAAATGGGATATATTCTGTTTCTTTTTTCTACTGGTATGGCGCCCTTATCGACTTTAGAAGTAAACATATTAGGGTCATCGTAAAAAAAGATTGTCAAATACTGGCTCTAAATATAAGCAGGTAGAAAGTTTAGCTTCCAGTTATTTCAATGTTTACAATATAACGAAGAATCTACAACAGTAATTACTTCTATTTTTATGAATGTTTAAGTTACTTTCTTATTTTTTTTTTCAAAATAATATACCTAGTAGAAATATAGTCTAATAAACCCTGTTTGAAAAACGTTAAATTAAATATCATATTTAAAATACAGTTGTCCTCCTTGTACATGACTACAATACAACTAAAAAAAACTAATTTAATAAAAAAATTCACAGTCCTTTACAAAGATGCAACCGGGGGGCATTGAAAATGATGAATAAAAACGTAAAAATATGATTAGTGTTAATATGAGTGTATTACATACATGTTTAAATAACGAACTTAACAAAAAACAACAGATTTAAAGATTCACTGAAAAAGTAGTAGTGTTAACATTAAATAAAACATTATCAATAATAATTATGCGATCGCACCTATCCGTAAAACAAGCAAGCAAAAATACCTCGAAAAAAACAAAATAACATACAAAACATCAGGTTAACATGATGACAGATCATGATCAATGACAGATAAAGAATTCTTACGGAAAGTTACACTTTACGATATAATTTTTTAACTGTTAAAGGCAAACCCCATTTAAACACAAAACTTTTTAATACCTACTACTGTATCTAAAAGACTTTTTAAATTACTAAATTCTTAGCCACGCTTCTGTTTTTCTTGGCTGTTGTGCGTCACGTCACAGATTAACAGGCCCACGTTTACACCACAAGGCGATGCTGCAGACCACTAGGTAGACCGGTCGTAGAAATTTATGTTATACAACTTGTAGTCAATCTACACAAATATTATCAAAAAACTTTTTTCTTTTAAAATGTGTTCAGATTTTGTAAAAGTGAGCATAGATGTTTTTTATTTTTCATCTTTTTTTTTATTTATTAAGAGCACTAATACTCTCTTTATAGGTTATTTTTTATTTTTTGAAGGATAATTGAGGAAGATATATTTCGTTATGATGTCACTAAATAAACCCTTGTATAAAATTTTATACTGTCTGGTTTATAATGTTATAGTATTGCATTTTTGTACAGCAAACTTTCATTCCCTATTCTACTCCCTAAGGGTATAAATTTCATAAATTCGCTTTACCTTTGTGCCAATTTTTATGTGTATAATCCAGAGGTCACCAAGTTTTATATAAATTTTTACTAACTTTACCCATTTTGTTGATGAATTTCAAAAATTTCTTCTAATTCTTTTTGTAGGATTTCATTTTTCTAGACCAAATAGTAAGGAATTTTCATACAACAAACTCTTTTACTCTC